GCTTTCAGGATTGACCAGCGGGCTGGGGACCGGCAGGTGGCCACTGTGACCAGGAGGCCAGGTGCAGGGCAGTGGGCGGGCAAAGTCCCGGCCACTGCGGCAGAGCGATTCCCACTGCCCTTCCCTGCACGGGAGGGTCTGGGGGAGCGGGGCTGTGTGCCCGTGGGAGCCTTGGCACTTCTGTGCCGCCCCCGCCGCGTGGGCCGAGCCCTCCTGGGCCCTCCGTGCGCAGTTGGAGCGAGCCCGAGCCCGGGTCAGCACCCGCCACCTGCGCGCTGCAGCGCCGGCGGGTCGGCCGCGCAGTGAGGCCACGAGCCCCGCTGCCCCGGGCTCCGCGTCCGCGGCTGGGCGCCCGTCACTCAGCGCGGCCGTGTCCCCGTCTCCGGCAGGTGAAGCAGAAGGAGAACGGCGTGGCGCTGAGGTGCTTCCAGAGCGTGGTGCGCGCCCTGGACGCGCTGGGCTGGGAGGAGCGGCAGCTGGCCCTGGCGAAGGGGCTGCTGGCCGGGAACGTCTTCGACTGGGGAGCCAAGGCCGTCTCTGAGTAGGTGCTGGCCGCCAGCCCACTCTCCAGGCCCGGGGCGGGGCAGCAGGAGGAGACGGCCCTGGTGGGCTGGGCTTTGGGGGCGCGCGGGCCCTTGGGGTGCAGGTGGCAGCCCTGCCTGTCCCCAAGCGCATCCCTGGGTTTGGGATTGACGTTTCCACGGGTAAGAGTCCAGGGTGGTAGTCGCCGCGGAGTGGGGAAGGTACAGCCTCCGTGTCTGCAGTGAGCTGTTGGGCTGAGGTTCTGGGTGTGTGAGACTTTCTTTTCTCCTCCCCACGTAGTGTCCTGGACTCTGACCCCCAGTTTGGGTTTGAGGAGGCAAAGAGGAAGCTGGAAGGTAGGGGCACCGGGCGGCCTCCAGCGGGACGGGTCCAAGCGGGGGATGGGCGGTGGGGGCAGCTCATTGCCACGGCGCTGGGGGAGGGGAGGGTGACTGCCCGAGAGGGCCCTGCTGACCGCAGCCCTGTGTCCGCAGAGCGGCCCTGGCTGGTGGACTCCTACGGCAAGTGGCTTCAGAGACTGAAGGTACATGCAGCTGCCCCGCCTCTGTCCCAGGGCCGCAGCACACAGCCCGGGCAGTGGGGCCCACCGGGGACCACAGGAGGGGGGAGCTGGGGTGTCCCCGGGCGACCCGGGGGCCGGGATCTCACCACTGCCCAGCTGTCAGCCCGAGCTGGCCATTCCCTGTCCCACACCTGCCTCCTGCAGAGACACTGAGTAGCTCAGTTGACCTCAGGACGAAGGTCGCCTGGGCCAGCAGCTCTGGGAGGAGCTCGGGCTGACCCTGCCCAGCACCCACGGGACCCAGCGCCTCGGCCTCGGCCGTGGAGAGCAGTGTGGAGGGTCTGAAATGCTTGGACGCGCCTGTCCCCAACTGAACGTCCTGGTTTTGTCTTGCAGGGGCCCCCTCACAAATGTGCCTTAATTTTCGCAGATAACAGTGGAGTAGACGTCATTTTGGGAGTCTTCCCCTTTGTCAGGGAGCTTCTGTCTAGAGGGACGGAGGTGAGTGTGAGGGCTACCCGCGGGACCCTTGCCCGCTCCTCCGCTCCCGGGGGGTTGGCGCTGCTCCTTGGTGCGCGGCAGGTAGGTGCGGGCGAGGGGGTGACCTGCCCGAGTCACGGGCCGTCTCCATCTGGACCTGAGGGCCAGCTCTTCTGTGGGCTGCCAAGCAGTGACGGGTGTCCAGGGGCTGTGCGGCTGCCGCAGCTCTGGGCGGGCAGGGGAGCAGCTTGGTGTGGTGCTGGGTTGTGGCCGAGGCCCCTCAAAAGGCTGGGGTGTCCACTGCAGGTCATCCTGGCGTGCAACTCGGGACCTGCCTTGAACGATGTGACCTACAGCGAGTCCCTCATCGTGGCCGAGCGCATTGCGGCCATGGACCCTGTCGTCCAGTAAGCGTGGTGGGAGGCCTGGGGCCCTGGACCGAGGGGTCGCAGTGGGGTTTCCAGGGGCCACCTCACGGGCACCGCCCTTGTGCTCACAGCTCCGCGCTCAGAGAGGAGAGACTGGTGCTGATGCAGACAGGCTCCAGCTCCCCATGCCTGGACCTCAGGTACCTGCGCCCCCCCGCCCCCCGCCCCCCGTGCAGTCAGCCTCTCTCCTCAGGGACCATCGCTGCGTCATTCAGCCTGGGGGCGGGTGGAGCGGACGCCCATGCCACGGGCTCGGAGGCTGGCAGTGGGCCCACCTGAGGCTGCGACCCTCCCGTCAGTCTGTCTGTCCTGGGGTTCTGAGCATAAAGACCCCAGCTACCTGGAGCCAGCATTTGGAGGGGACTGTCAGTCCTTATCTGCCCGGTAGTGACCCCTTTTCCAGGCCCCCTGCTGACTAGCAGAGAGGATGACAGATCCCAGGGAAGGACTAGATCCTTCCAAGTTCAAAATGGGCGTCACTGAGGCCCAGCTTCCCAAGCTGCCTGTGCGCGAGGGAGGCCCAGCCGCTCGGCAGGCTGCGCGTGGAGCCCACAGAATCGCGGGGGGTCTCCATGCCCTGGGGGGCAGGCAGGGTGTGGCATCCACCCTGGTGTCGCCCGAGCCCACCTCACTGTCCTCTCCCTCCCCAAAGCCGCCTGGACAAGGGGCTGGCCGTGCTGGTGCGGGAGCGCGGCACGGACCTGGTGGTCATCGAGGGCATGGGCCGCGCCATCCACACCAACTACCACGCGGCCCTGCGCTGCGAGTGTCTGAAGCTGGCCGTCATCAAGAACTCCTGGCTGGCCGAGCGGCTGGGCGGCCGGCTCTTCAGCGTCATCTTCAAGTACGAGGTCCCGGCCGAGTGAGGTGCCCGACTGCAGGCCGATCCGCCCGCCACGTGTCAGGAACGCGCCTCACCTGCAGCAGGGACGTGCTCCGGCCGGAATATTTATGTTGTGCTTCTGACTCAGGCTGGTGGCCCGGCGTGGGCCTGGTGCGCCCACGTCAGGCTTTCCGTCAGCGCTGCCGTGTTCGTGGCGGGGAGACGGCCTGCCCCGTGGGACGTTCGCAGTGGAATGTATTTAACTGTTAAATAATCTTTTGTATATGTATTAAATATATATATACTGTGTGTCTGACAGAGAACACGGCTCCAGACACGCAGCAGTTCCTAGGGCGAGCCCAGAGCTGTGGGTGCCTGGGAAGCCCTGCCCACCCTTCCCCAGGGAGCAGCAGTTACTTCTAGAACACCTAGGCCACCTGGGCCCGGGGCTGCCTGTCCCGGCTGCACAGTGGAGGGACCGCAGGGTGCTGAGCGGAGGCCGAGGGTATCGAGGTCCCTCGGGTTGGTTGGTGGCGGGTGCACACCTGCTCAGAGCTGGCCAGACCGTGTGGGTTTTGTCACCGTGGCCTTGCACCTGGCCCAGCCCTGGGAGTGCCACCAGGTTGCAGGAGCCCACTGTCCCTGGCTGCTCCCCGTGGAGCGGGCCTCGGGTGCAGACTGGAGCCAGAGGGCAGCACGCAGAAGGCACTGGAGTGACCTGTGAGGCCTGCGTCTGTGTGCACCGGATGGAGGACTGAGTGCGATGTGCATTTTTGAGAGTTGGGGCCCCCCTGCCCCGCCCTGAAGGGCCCAGAAATCCGAGGGCTGGGGTGGGCCTGAGGGCAGCTACTGGCCACCACCTGCAGGGCCTGAGCGTGCTCACTTCTGCCCGCCCACCCTTTTCACCAAGGCCCCCACACAGCCATGCCCTGCGGGGCCACGGAAGCCTGGTACCCCCGACACCCCAGCCCCCAGCTTCATGTTTGTGTGGGGCAGACAAGCCCCCCAGCTACCCAAGTGTTGCGCCCTTATTCCTTCACACCCCAGCCCTGCCTGGCAGTGGCTCCCACACCAGCCCCAAGGCCCCGAAGTAGCTCTGGTGGCAGAGCTGGGGCCTGGCCCCCCTCAAGTGGTCACCAGGGGGCGCAACCAGCTAGAGGGCCCAGGCTGGCCCGTCCAGCAGGTGACCTCCAGGAGAGCCCCCACACTGGACCCTAACCGTCTGGCCTTGCGCCTCCACATGGCTCAGCGGCCCCCCATCCTCTGCTCCTTGCTGGTGGAGGGCGCTGGCCTGGGGCCCTGGTGCAGAGGGGCCCGCCCAGATGTCTAGAATTCCAGAGCCCCCACTGCGCCGGCTTGGCCCTCCATGGGGGCCACGATCCTGGGAGTGACAGACAGGCCAAGGCAGCTCAGGCCCCTAACACCCCCAGCCCCCGGGGCCCCTCCCGTGACACACCCTGTCCCTGTCCAGCTGCAGCAGACAGGCTAGCCCCCAGGGCACTGAGAGCAGCCCCTGGAAGGTCACCGTGCGACCACACCTCCCATGAGAAGGTGGGGCACCACCCCGGGAGCCCAGCAGCCAGTGCCCCACTCGGGGATCCGACCCCCAGGCTGAGGCTTCTCCCTGCCCTTTCCCCTGTCAGCACTCGAGACTTGCTCCCTCCCTCCCTGGGCGCTCTAGCCCACTGCCGTCCGTTCTGGGGTTGGGCCACAGCCTCCCCCATGCAAACGCCCAGGGGTCACCATCGGACCCCCTCAGCCAGGCCTATGCCGAGCTTGGGCCAGTGCGGGTCCCAGGGCCTGAGGGCTTCCAGCCCCCCTGCCCGCACCCCAGCTTCTCGTGGTCTCTGTTGTGGTGGGGCCCGGGCTGCCCCACTGACAGCCTGTGGCACAGAGATAACTGGCCATGGCAGAGGTTGCAGGGAGGTGCTAAGGACAGGCCCCGGCACAGACCCCCTGTGGCCTGGCCAGCACCCCAGCTTCTCCAGGGAGGGGCAGTCCTGGAACCTGGGTGAGAGGCAGGGTGGTGGGGGCGGGTCCCCGCCCAGGGCCAAGGTCTGCCCCCAGGACGGGTTGGGGGGCGCAGGGGTGTGTGCCGGGGGGCTGTGGCCTTGCTAATTCTCCTGTGAGCAGGGGCCAAGGCTTCCTCTGGGCCTCGCGCACCCTGGGACACCTAGTTCGAGGCCACGGGGGCTGCAGCCCGGCGGTTGGCCTCACACAGAGCAAGCATGAAAGTGTTTATTGGAGTCGTGTTCGGGATTTACAGAGTCTAAAACGTCCATACAGAGGGGTTCATGCAGACGAAGCCAAGCGCAGGGGGGGCAGCTCGGGGCACCCGCAGCGGGGCTGGGCACAGGCACCCACGCAGCTAAAAACCAGGGAGACTGGGGAAGGACTCGGCACCATTTTAATGTAGAAGATTCGTCTAAAAATTTAAATATCTCTCTATGTATATATCTTAAAACGTTGTGAAAATTTTTCCCGGGAGGGGGGGCTTCTTTCCTCCCCAGAAGAGGCAGGGGGCACAGAGGGCCCCAAGGGGCAGAGGCTCCGGGCACCAGCACTCCTGTCCTGGGCAAACACGACCCTGCCCCCACTGGCCACAAGAGGGCAGCCAAACCCACGTTGGCCACTGGGTCAGAGTCTGAGCAGGAGGCTGGTGGCGCTCTTGGGGGCCGGCACATCCCCAAAGTCCTCTGGGCCCACGGAGCAGGCGCCCTCGGGGGTGCCCCTCTCCTCCTCAGGGAGTCCCCGCGGGCCCTGCAGCCGCTGTTGACGCTCCTGGGCCTGGCGGGCCCGGCTGGCGATGGCGCGCACGCGGCTCTGGCTGCGGGAGGACCTCCGCAGGAAGCCGGAGCCCCCGGCGGCCCCCAGCCCTGCCGGGCCCAGGCTGGTGGGCGAGCTGATGTCCCCCGCCTGCTGGAACCCCGTGAGCCAGCGCAGCTGCTCCGTCAGGGGGTCCCGCCGCGCCACCCGCCCCGCTGGCCCCTCCCCAGCTGGGCCCAGACTGCGGCCCAGCCTTCCACCCAGGCCCTCGACACGGGGAGCAAAGTCATCGGCCGTCAGGTCCCCCAGGCTCTTGGACTTGGTGGACACGGGACAGTCCCGGAGGTCTGCCAGGGGGAGGCAACCCCAGGGTGGCCGAGGGGCCAGGGCCCGGGACCGAAGCTCATCGGCGGCCGCAGGGAACTGGCCTGCGGCCCACAGGTTGGGGTTGGATTTGCTCTTGGTCGCCGAGAGGAAGTCCGGGCAGGCTGCGGAGGCCAAGCAGGGCCTCAGGGGCAGGCGTCCAGCAGGGGCCCCCGAGAGGCTCTCTCGACCCAGGCCCAGGCCCAGACCGGGCAGCAAGAGGTCAATGACTGTGTCACTGGACGACAGACTGGAGGACGAGGACACGCTGTCTCCGGGGCCGCCTGGCTCCAGCCGCTGCCAAAGGCGGTCTCCACCCGTGGCGTCCGAGCTCGTGGCAGGCAAGGGCCCGGCCAGGGACCGCCGTCCACCCAGGAGCTCCGAGGGCACCTGCCCCTCACTTTTGGCTCTTCTAACCAAGGGCAGATGGCCCAGGGCCCGGGGGTGGCCTCTGCTGTCTGTCTGGCTGCTGGAGACCCCCGCACACGCCCGGCTGGGGCCTCCCCCGTCGCACGCCTGCTGCCTCCTGTGGGGGGCCGGCCCCGCGTCCCCCTGGCTCCCGGGCCTGAGCCGGGGGGGCACTGAGGCTCCCAGAGCCACACCTGGGAGGCTCTCAGCTTTGGCTCCGGGTCCTGGGGAGCACCAGGGCCCTCCCGGGGAGGGGCTGGGCGGGGTGGCCCGCAGAAGTGGGGGGCCGGGGCCCAGGGCTGGCTCCTCAGCAATGGTCTCCAGGCTGCACAGGGAGGAGACCGACCTCTGAATGGAGAAGGAGCGGGTGTCTGTGGGCGAGAGGGAGGGCGTGTGTCAGGACGCACCCCGTGGCCCCGCGCCCCCGGGACCCCAACGACCAGGCCTCCGTGGGACACAGCAGCCCTGCCCTCCTCCGCTCCGCTGCGGGTCCTCGGCTGGGGCGGCACAGGGGGCCGGGCCGTTACCTGGCACTTGGCTGCTGTCAGTTCCTAACTACAGGGGCAGCATGGGGACAGAAAGGAGAAAGTGGTCAGCCTGGGCACAGGACTGGCAGGCGGACAGATGGACAGCAAGGGCAGGGAGCAGGGCAGCTCAGCTTCCACCCTCGCCCAGTCTGGGGTCCACACCCCAGGACAAAGTGCTGTCACCATCCCAGGCCGGGGATGAACCCCAGGGCCCAGGGACCTGTGTGCTTCTGCAAACTCAGCCCCAGCATCACGGCTCCGAGCGCCGCCCCGGAGTCTGGGCGCGGGGCCGACTTCCCAGAGGACTGTGGCGCAGGGTCAGGGGCCGGGACACCTGCAGCGTAGCCCTGGAGGGAGGCCAGGGAGGGGCTGGACGCTGCCCCTGAGTCCTAGGAAGGCCAGCAGGAGCAGCCAGGCCAGGCGGGGCAGGGAGGGAGGGCCGGCAGGGGCCTCGCCCCAGGCTGCAGGCTCGGCGAGCACAGCCTGGCTTCTGTCCCCACCCAGGTGGGGTGCTCCCGCGTGAGGGCCACTGCAGCCGGACCGGCTCTCCCTGCCCAGGCCCCTCGGGGACAGAGGGGGGCGTCCGAGGGCAAGAGGCCCGGGGGTTCGTCTCGCTCAGGCGGGGGCTGGGGGCTGGGGGCCCGCAGGGAAAGCCAGCAGAGCACAGGGGAAGGCGGCCGTCAGCACACAAGGTGAGGCGGTGGCGTTCTGGACATGGAAGCGCAGCGGGGACGCCCGGCCAGGCCATGCGGAGGGACTGGGGACGCCACGGAGCTCCGGGTCTTACCGGTGGAGAACATTGAGGATTTACTCCTAATCTCCTCCAGCTTTTGAACGAACAAGGTATTCATCTCCCTCTGCAGGGCCCCCGCCTGCCTGCGGGCACCCTCGGGCCAGCAGGGGGCCGCCTCAGGGCTGCCCGGGCTGCCGGAGTAGGGGGACACGGAGCAGCCGCCCCCCGGACCCTCGGAGGTCCCTCTGCTGCCGCTGCCTGGGGCCGCCTGGGGGGCCCCCAGCGAGTCCGCCCCAGCGCGGGGCTGCTGGGTGATGGCCACGGGCCCACCGGCGGGCCCCGGGCTGGGTGGCCGCCCCCGCCGAAGGCCATCGGTGTCCTCGCCGGTGCAGGAGCCCACCACGCACTTCATGCAGGAGACAGCCACCCCGGCAGGCCCGGGGCCCCCCTGCCCAGGGCTCCTCTCCGCCGGCACCTTACCTCGGGGGCTGTGGCCTCCGGGCTCCTCCCGAGCCAGGGCCTCCAGAGCCGGGCCGGGGCTGGGGGGCGCCACGTCTAGGGCCTCCCCCTTGGAGCCTGCGTCCTGCGTGCCCAGGACCAGCTCCGGGAAGGCCTTTTGGCCTGACTTCTGGCTCTTGGTTGGGGCGCTGGCCGTGCGCCTCAGGAGCCGTTGGCTAACAGAGGGCCGGGGAGGGGGCTGCCCAGCAGCATGACTGTCCAGGGAGCCAGGCTTGGGGCCTCGGAGGAACAGGCCTTTTAGGCCCAGAGCCTGCTTGACCTGCAAGAGAAGGAGCCCACATTGCTGGTGGCCAGACACGGGGGGTCAGGCTTTGGGGGCCAGGGGCTGAGGGCCAGAGGCTGAGACCCAGGCATTGGGGGCCAGGGGCTGAGACCCAGGCATTGGGGGCCAGGGGCTGAGGGCCATACACTGGGGGCCAGGGGCTGAGGGCCAGAGGCTGAGACCTAGGCTTTGGGGGCCAGGGGCTGAGGGCCAGAGGCTGAGACCCAGGCTTTGGGGGCCAGAGGCTGAGGGCCATACACTGGGGGCCAGGGGCTGAGGGCCAGAGGCTGAGACCTAGGCTTTGGGGGCCAGGGGCTGAGGGCCAGGGGCTGAGACCCAGGCTTTGGGGGCCAGAGGCTGAGGGCCATACACTGGGGGCCAGGGGCTGAGGGCCAGGCACTGGGGGCCAGAGGCTGAGACCTATACACTGGGGGCCAGGGGCTGAGGGCTAGGCACTGGAGGCCAGACACTGGGGGTCAGGCTTTGGGGGCCAGAGGCTGGGGGCCAGGGGCTGAGGGCCAGGCACTGGGGGCCAGAGGCTGGGGGCCAGGGGCTGAGGGCCAGGCACTGGGGGCCAGAGGCTGGGGGCCAGGGGCTGAGGACCAGGGGCTGAGGGCCAGGCACTGGGGGCCAGAGGCTGGGGGCCAGGGGCTGAGGGCCAGGCACTGGGGGCCAGAGGCTGGGGGCCAGGGGCTGAGGCCCAGGCACTGGGGGCCAGGGGTTGGGGGCCAGGGGCTGCCCAGCCCAGCCCAGCTGCACTCTGGCAAGTGGTGACCTAGGTGAGCCCGCTGCAGCCCGAGGGGTCAGCTGGGTGAGGGCACCAGCGGGCATGCCGGGGTTGGGACACTCAGGGCTGTGTGCAGGGAGAAAGGTCTCTAGGCCCCTCTGCAGGGACGGAGGCGGCTGTGGCCTCGGCGCTGACCGGGGCTGGCCCAGTCCGCACAGGCCGGAGCCAGCAGGGGCCGCAGGTCTCAGGGCGACAGGCCCAGGACTCTCCCAAGCAGAGACCTCGGAACCTGCACCCTGTGCCACCGCACTGTGCACCTGTGGCAGGCCCCGCGGCCTGGCTCTGGCAGGTGGTGCCCACAGGGCAGTGCTGGAGAGAAAATGGACTGAGGCCGAATGGAAGCAGGCACTGCCCAGCCCAGCCCACGCTGGCCCCCCGGCACTGCAGGCCAGCGGTCTGTTCTCCAGGCCCCTGCTCCGCCCGCTCCCTTGGAGGTGCTGCCTCTTGCAGGCGTCTTTCCGACCCTCACCCTGCTCTGCGCATGTGACCCCAGGGCAGGGTTCATGCCAGCTTGGCACCCCCTGAACCACTACTGGCCCAGAAGGTCCCTAAAAGGTCTCTCCCTCAGCCTCCCTGCCTGAGGAAGGCAGCTGGGGTGCCCGGGACCAGCTGGCCAGTGCCAGGGAGGCCGGCAGGGTCCTCACGTGCAGAGGCCCCCACGGCAGCCGCTGCCCCCCAACGACACCGGGCCCATCGGGGGAGGCATGACGTGCCCAGCACTTGAATCAGTTTCCAGATTCAAGATCCCAAATGCAGAGCGATTTGGTCAGTGTTGGCTGGGAGGTCATTTAGAAGAAGGTCCAGGATTCAAGCTCGGAGCCCCGCGTCTCTGGGACCTCCCCGCCCGGCACTGGGCATCCAGGGCACAGAGTCAGGGGCACAGGGGTGCCGGTGGCGGAGAGAGGGGGAAGGGTGCAGGGACAGCTTGCAGTCAGAGAGGGAGGCTGGAGTGAGGGGAGGGCGCCCAGGAGACCCGGCCGAAGTCCTGGACCTGCTTTGTAAATGCTCTGTGAGGGAGGATGGCCCGAGGGACCCAGAACGCCCAGGACCACATCATGATCACGGCACATGAGCTGGCAGTCTCCACAATGCTCCCAGGGGTCACAGCCGCCCCGGGCCGGCCTGAGCATGCGGGTGGGGCGGCGGGATGTGCAGCCCCGCGCGGGGGTACCTGTGAGCTCCTAACAGGGCGGTGCTTGGAAAGGTAGGCTCAGGACACAGAGAGCCCACTGCAAGACCAAGACAGAGAAGACCGTGAGGCACGACAGCGGGCGCAGAGCCCGTGGAGACCGGCAACACACGACAGACAGAAGACGGGCGGACGACAGACGGCAGAGCGGGGGGCCGGCAGCTCGCCCGTGGAGCGTGGCAGGAGAGAGACGGTTAGAGCCCGGACCTGCGGGGACCTGGGTGCCCTGGACTCTGCAGACCGGGGAGCGTGAGCCAGGCCGTCCGGGGCAGAGGTGACTGTACGGGGAGCGGGGTGGAGGGCAGAGCCAGGCAGCCGCCTCCCTTAGAGAGATGGAGAGCAGGGACCCTGAGAAGTGGGGGGAGGTCGGGAGACAGACGGGAGGGCGGCTCAGGAAGGGCCAGGTCATCCATCTCCTGGTGCCCATCGGCGGTGCCCGGGACACGAGGCTCGGGTGCCCTCATCACCCACTGCACCGGTGGAGAAACAGGCCCAGCGAAGTACCCGCTGGACCTCATGGCCCCGGGGTCACTGCTGGGGTGCGGTGGCCCTGCCGCGGCACTCACCTTACCACTGACGTCACTGATGGCCACGTGGACAAAGATGGAGGCTTCTTCCATCCCCTCCAGGTACACGTGCCGATAGCCTGAAAGGGCCGAGTCACGGCTCACCCCGCCCCCACTCTGCCCCGAGGTCCCGGGTTCGAATACGACCATGAGCCCAGCTCTGGGCTCTCTGACGCCTCCAGCTGGGAACGGTCTCGCCCACAGGGACCCCTTCCTCTCCCGGGAGCTGAAGGGTGAGGGCTCCCCGGCCTGAGCTCCCCGCCCCCACCCCGTCCACATGTCCACAAGGTGCCCCTCCTCCTCAGCGCCCTCTGTGCCCCCAGGCCCACCATGGCAGAAGCCAACGCACAGGGGGAAGCTGAGCCCCACTGCTCTGGACCCCTCGGCCGGCCTGCAGGACACTGGGCTCTGCCCTCCCCAGCCCTGCTGGCCCCCTGCTCTGCACCCCTCGGCCGGCCTGCGGGACACTGGGCTCTGCCCTCCCCAGCCCTGCTGGCCCCCTGCCCACCTGGCATCATGCTGCTGAAGGCCAGTGTCCTCTGGCCGATGAAGTCGCGCCCGATGGGGTCGTGGTCCCAGACGAGGAAGCGCACCAGCGCGATTTCGGGCATGTGCACCATGAACACCAGGGTCTCCTCCCACATGGGGTTAAATCCTAGAGGCCACCAGGAGGAGGTGTCACCTCCCGCCCCAGCTCCAGCCTGGACTGGGCCACCTGGCTGCTGGGAGCCACCCCCGGGGGCCTCCGGCCGAGGAGACCGTCTGGATGGTACTCGGGACGCAGGAGGTGGCCCTGGCCCCCTCCGTTCCCAGTCTGGCCAGCGTGCCGGCGTGGTGACTGAGATGTGGCCCCGGGCACAGGCTGGCACCGGGCGCCCGCGGGCAGGCCCTCACCGTTGTCATCCACCACGCGCGTCTGCTCCTTGCTGCAGTCCACGGGGAGTCCGATGACCTCCACCTCCACGAAGGGGTCGATGATCTGTGCAGAGGACAGGTGACGCCAGGGCCGCTGGGCTCGGCCTCCTCCCTGCCTGCGCCCGGCGGCCCTCCTACCTCCCCACGGTCCCCCAGCATCGAGTCGCGTGGCTTGGGGAGCTGCTGCCCGCTGATGATCCGAAGCACCAGCTGCTTCTTGAGCTGCCCGGGCAGGGGGTCTTCGGAGTTGGGGTTGAAGAAGCCTGAGGGGAGGCAGCACGGGCTGACCAGGCAGGGCCAGGCCCCCCCAGCATGGCCACACAGCACCCACCCCTCCCCCACTGGCCGGAGGTGAGCCCCAGCCCGGGAGGAGGGGGCGGCGGCATTCCGGCACGGGCACCGGGACCTGTGCGCCCCTGTGACAGGGACACAGCTTGTCCCCTCGCATCAGTGAACTCAGGGGGCTGAGCACGCATGCAAGGGCGGAGGGTGGGTGCCGGGAGCACGGTGGGAGGGCGGGGCCCGGTGAGGGGTGAGGGGTTCCCCGAGACAGGGCAGCTCAGCTGGTACGGTTGGCACCTGGAGAAGTAAGTGCACAGAGAAGCCCGGAGGGTGTGGGAGGAGGGTAGGGCCCCACGGGAAGAGATGCAGGTGTTCTTACACCCAAGGAGAACACTGGGGCGTCCAGCAGGAGACAGGCTGCTACGAGGGCCCCCCCAGACCTGGCCAGGGGGTGAGTGGGCTCCCGAAGAGCCCTGCAGGTCCCAGCGTGCCCCCGGCCCCGGGTGCCCCAGGGCCTCACCCTGGCACATGCACGGGGGCTTGAGCACGTAGCCACAGTTGCCATTGGCGCTGAACTTGGCTCGGTTCAGCTGCAGCATCCGCCCCTCCGACTGGTAGTTCAGGGCGACTGCAGACCAGGACGTGAAGCGGCCGTCAGCGCCCGGCCGTGGCCTCCGGCCAGCCCGACGCCCACACAGCCAGGGCGCCCTCGGGCACCGGGACTGAGGACCCCACCCCGTGCCAGGCTGGCGTCGGCCAGAGCCCCGGGCCCGCCCGCCGGCGCCCAGCACCCACCCATCTGGCAGCCGGCGTTCCAGAAGGGCTGCGGGTTGTAGTTGCTGGAGTCCACGCGGTAGGAGGAGGGGTAGATGCGGGACAGCTGGTGCTGGTTGAACCGCAGGTACTGTGCTGGCTTCTGCTGCAGGGTCTGCTGGGCCTTCGTCTCGCTGAAGGACGACACCTGCCAGCTGGACGCCACTGTGGGCGCAGGCGGCCGGCGTCAGGGTATCGGGTCGCAGCCCGGCCCTGCCCGGTGCCCCAGAGCCCGGGCGCCCCTCACCCTCCGTGTCCACGTCGTGGGTGCCCACGGACTTCGTGTACTTCACCAGGTCGGACAGGGCCCGGGACAGCTGCATGGTCTTTTTCTGCCTGGTCGCCCTGCAGGGAGGGTGGGCACGGGGTCAGGACCCTGAGGTGGGCGCCCCTGCTGCCTCAGGCCGGCCTGGGCACCCTGGTCTAAGAGGCCGGCTCCGGGCTCGGCCAAGTGCACCGGTTCACGCAGACATGCACCAAGCTTCCGTCCAGGTCCCAGGACATGCTGTGGGCACAGTGGACGCCCTGAGAGGTGCCGCCGGGCGAGGGGCTTCACGGAGCCTGCCAGACCATGGTGCTCGGACGGGGATGGCGCTCGGACGGGGATGGCGCTTGGAACAAGCCCAGGGCCCTGCCCGACCAGCCCACCCCTCCCTGGGGCCACGCCCTGGGCCCCACTTCCGCCCCAGCGCCCTGAGCCTGACCCTCGACGGCTTGCACATCTGACTTTGTCTGCAGTAGGACAACGGCCTCCCCACTCCCCCTGCCGCAGTCTATTCAAGGCGCTGGGTGGGCAGGCCCTGACCCTCGGCTCTGGCCACTCTGCGCATCCGGGTCCCCGTCTGCCTCCTCCACGCTGGCCGCCTTCTTTAGTTTGCTGCTTTTTTTCTGTGTGGAAGGAGGACAGAGTCAGGCCCGTCTGCAGAGGCTGGGAGGGGGCACGCAGGGGCTTGTCCTGGAGTCCCAGGGCCCACGCGGGGTGGCTGAGCCTTCTCTGTCCCCAGCAGTACCCCTCTCGGGGGGGCCCCGGGTGACCTAAGCTTGGGGCACTGGCCAGTGTGAGTCAGGGGCTGGCCACTGAAGCCTGCTCCGTCCAGCCCCGACCAGGCTCCGGACCCCTGCAGCCGGGGATGCACCCAGGAACTCAAGTGGGGCTTCTGGGAGGTGGGCCAGGGGCCTGCGGGCTGGAGGAGAGCCCCCTCCGGCGGACACAGGGACATGTGAGGGGGGGGCCCAGCCCGGGAGCCCCCAGACCTTGCGCTTGGAGAAACTGTTCATGAGAAACCGGCCGTCCCGTCTGCTGGCTCCAGGGTCCTCCCCAGACTCCATGTCCTCCTCGGCCTGGGAGGGGGGACAGACGGCAGGGACGGGGTGAGCCCAGCATCGGACCAGGGGGGTGGGGCAGGCGCGTTTCCAGGGGACCCAAGGGGCCTCTCTGGAGGAGGGGAAACCTAGCGGGGCTGGAGGGAGGGAGAGCCAGGTGGGCTGGCTGCTGCCCCAGGCCCCACAGGAGGCCCGGCCCCCAGAGAGCCGGGAGGGCCCCATGGAAATGACCGCGTCAGCTGCTCTCTGCGTCCCGGACGGTGACTGATCGATGCCCTCTGAGTCTGGGGCGTCTGCAGCCTCCTGCCGCCTGCTCCCTGCGGCGGCCATGGTGTTACCCAACTACACAGGTAACAGGCCCTGCCCCCGACGGGCGGGCTGCTTCCTGTTTGCAGAACAAGGCCACCAGGGTCCCTTCCCTGCCCAGCCCCTGCCCAAGGCACAGTCCTCCATCCGTCTGGCAGCTCATTCAGGGGCCTGGAGCTGCGGGGGCTGTGCCAGCCTCCACCCGCCCCCCAGCCCCTCCAGAGGCTGCCAACCCCCCCAGCTGTGCTGGGGTGTGTGGGGCCCCACGCAGGACTCGTCCAGGGCTGGCTCTGCCAAGCTCACGGGGCCTGTGAGCCTGAGGCCGAGCGTCTGTGTTGGAGGGATTCAGTCAGAGGCAGGCACACGCGCACCCTGTACACGCCCGTACACGCACCCACATACTCTCTGTACACACACCCCTGTGGGTGCCCCTGCACACAGGCCCCCCCACGCCCAGCCTGACCCACCAGCCCCCTCATCCAGGAGGTGAGAGGGGCCCTCAGGTGTGGATTCTGGTGAAGTGGCCTGGAGCGCAAGCTCCGGGGATGTGAAGCCCACGGTACCCAGGGGGGACGGGGTGCAGATGACCAGTGTCTGCCCCCCGGGCAGAGGGGAGGGGACCCCATCCTCTAGAGGTGACAGCCACGGGGCCCAGGCACCTGCCCTGGTCTCATCTGCCTGAACACCGCCCACCGTGGCTCTCGCGTTAGCTCAGGCACAGCCTGGCAGGGTCTGGAGGCTCCTGTCCGCCGGCCCCGAGCTCCCCTGCCCCCCGCCCGGGTCTGCCTTCTCGGAGCGACTGGGGCCTGGCGGTGCCCTCCCTGTGCCTCCTGGTCAGCCGGCGGAGGTGGGCTGTGTGGAGAAGATGACCCGCAATAACGGGGGCACTCAGCACGGGCTAAGCCCCAAAGTGCCTTCGAGATGTCTGTCGGCCCAGCAGCAGCGGCCTGCTCCCCGAGCACTGATGGCCCCCGTCTGGCCGCGGCCCGAGGAGCCCTTTTGAGGTGTTTGCAGCCTGCTGAGGCCGACACGCTTGGACTCGATGCTCATCGCTCAGCCCGGCCAGCGTGGCTCAGTGGACGGAGCGCTGTCCCACGGACTGAGAGGTCCCGGTTCCATTCCCAGTCAGGGCACAGGCCTGGGTTTCGGCTCGATCCCCAGTAGGGGGCGTGCAGGAGGCAGCCAATGGATGTTTCTCTCTCACATCAATATTTCTCTCTTCCATCCTCTTTCTCCAAAAAATAAAAATAAAAACATATTTAAATAAATAAATAAATGTTCCTCGCTCAAAGCCACACACAAGTGCCCGTGAATCAGCCCAACCAAGGAGAGGCTCGGGCTGGCCCAGCGTCCTGGAGAGGCGTCTGCAGCCAGAACGCACTGTCACCCCGGACCTCCGTGCACCCCAAGCCCGCACTGACCCAAACCTCGGCCTCCTCGAGGGTGCTGCAGGCAGCAGGGCTGTGGGCAGGGGGCCCCGCATTGGCCTCTCCGACCCCGGGCCACAGGTGCTCACAGAGAACGCGAGGGGGGAGGCAGGTCCACACCTCAGATGGAGCAGAACCTGCCAGCCCAGCTTGGCGACCCCTCCGGACCGAGAAGTCCAGTCCCGGGGGCTGGGGCAGCATCTCCTGCACAGGACCACACCTGGCCTTGGGGCACCAGACCTCAGGAGCTGTGCCCAGCACACAGGGTGGGACAGTCCTCCTTGCCCCCCCCCCCCCCCGACAGACACTCCTGCTCCACCCCACACACTGCCGTCTCCCACAGGGACCCTCACTGGGACCCATGCGGCGGGGCCACAGCCTCGGGCTCTGCAGCACACAGGACAGGCAGGCACACGGAGGCCGGTCTGTGACCCACGGGCTCAGGTGTTCTCCCCCTGCCTGGGTCCCCCTCAGATGCTCTGTGGCTCCACCCAGTCACCCCAGCAGGTGCTACGGGTGGGGCTGGAGCTCCCAGCTGCCCCCCACGTCCTCACACCTGGCAGTTCAGTCGGAGCTTCTTTCTCTCCAAGAGCCCTCCCCGAGAGCCCACCCTGGGCCCACCGGGAATGCGGCCCAGACACAGACCCTAGGGCCAGGCTGCCCTCCTGGGCGCCCCCAGGTGTGCCTGGCTGAGGAACAGCAGACTTTACGTCCAGTCTGCCCACCTGTCCAACTGCCCACCTGCCCGCCTGCCCGCCCACTGGAGCCCCAGGCGCTGTTTCGTCCACCTAGACCTCTTGAGACTGAAGGTAAATGACCACGTGTCGGCAAGGGACCCGTGGGCCACTGCAGGGAGCAATTCTCGAGTTTGTAGTGGTGCCAGCTGCACCCTGTACCCCGTGGGTGGGACACACCCACTTCTGAATATACTGCAGGGGCCGAGCCCCCTCGCCAGGCCAGGGAGGGGCTGCTTTCTACCCCCCATCCCACCCCCGTCCCCCAGCTGGCCCCGCAGTGGGGTCTGTGACAGGGTGGGCTCTCCAGGAACACGGACACGCTGTCCCCACCTCCACCCCAGCCCTGCTCACTCGTGAAACAGGGTCGCAGGGCCAACCAAACCCCACCTGCCCCCGGGGCCAGCTGCCCTGCCCACCCCAGCCCACCCCAGCCCCTGAGGAACTCCTGGTCCCCCAGCCCTCCAGCCGCTCGGCTGACAGACCGTGCTTCAGGCTCACTGCCCCGCCCCCACCTGCTGTGACAGCCCCCCCCTGTTTCGTCTGTGGGAGTCAGCTGCACTTTCCCCCCTGAGGCTTGGCCCTGAGAGGCTGCATGCCCTTCCCTGTCGCTGAGCAGACCCCGGGTGGGAGGGCCTGCCTCCACCCCTGGCAATGCTCAAATCGCCCCTGAAGGGGGCAGACCGCGGCTGCCAGGCACACCAGAGCGGCCACATAGACGGGGCAAACGGCCACTGGGACACGGTGAGGGCCACTGGGACAGGCAGCGTGTGTGCGAGTGTGTGCAGGTATGAGTGCAGGTGGTGTGCTGGCATGCATGTGTGTGCACATGTACACAGGCGCGTAAGCAGGTGTGCGTGTCGGTGGGCATGCTGGCCCAGGTTTGTGTGCAGGCGTGCATGTGTGTGGCTGCAGGTGTGCACAGGTGTGTGCACAGGTTCGTGTGTACACAGCTTTGGTGTGCATGGGTTCACGCGTACAGGTTGGTATAGGTGTGTGCAGGTGTGCACGGATACATGCGGGTGTCTGCACACGAGAATGTCTGTGCACAGGTGTGTGCACAGGTTCGTGTGTGCACAGCTTTGGTGTGCATGGGTTCACGCGTACAGGTTGGTATAGGTGTGTGCAGGTGTGCACGGATACATGCGGCTGTCTGCACACGAGAATGTCTGTGCACAGACCACACGTTCGTTCCAGGCCCTTAGCCCAGCCCACGCCGACCTCACCTGCAGGCCCTCACCTTTTTGCCCTCCGCCTTGTGCCCAGGCTTCCCAGGCGGGGGCGGCGGGGACACAGTGAAGTCATGCAGGTCCTCACAGTCCCGAATCTTTGACTCCTTGATCAGGGAATCCAGTTTCCTCTTGGCGATGTTTTCCACGCGCTTCCGACTGGTGGAGACCTGAAAGCCCCCAGCACAGCACCTGAGCCCCGGCTGGGGCAGGGCCAGAGGGGCCCACTGGCCGCTGAGCCCGCCCTCCCTCTCGGCACCTCGGACATCGCCTGCTGGTCCCCACCCAGCCTGTGTGCTCCGGGGCTACAGCCTGGACCCCCGGCGCCTCTGATTTTAATGCTGCCTCTTCCACCGCACAAGGCTGCCCGCAGGCACCCAGCCACCTGCCCACAGGACGCCGGCTCAGGGGCCTGGGGAGAGGGGTCAGCGAGCACAGCGACCACTCGTTCAACAGCTCTGGGTCGGGGACCCCACCAGCTGCCCAAGGAGATGGGAGGGGTGGGGACACTGCCTGGCTGGCCCATGACAGGGCCCTCCTTGCCCAGGGCAGCCCCCAGGTGGCCCTGGTGAACTTGGACCTCTCCAGGGCAGGACAGGAGCCTGGGTCTTGGGCATCTGGGTGCTCTGGGCCCAGGCTACAGTGGGCACAGGTCCCCCTCACAGAGCTGAGTTTGCCATTAGCTCCGGCCAAGTGCAGGCATGCCCAAGGCAGAAAGACTGGCCCTGGCCCGTTCGGCTCAGCGGTTAGAGCGTCGGCCGCAGACCAGAGTCGTGGCTTCGATGCCGGTCAAGGGCACGTACCTCAGTTGCAGTCCATCCCCAGCCCTGGTGGGGCCGTGCTGGAGGCAACCAGTCGGTGTGTCTCTCTCACACTGATGTTCCTCTCCCCTCCCCACATCTGATGCTAAATAGACAAATATCCTCCGGTGAGGATTAAACACAATAAAAAAATTTAGAAAGCAGAGAGACTTCCACTGCCTCAGGGCTTCCTGAAACAATTACCCAGCCAGGCTGGGAAGCTCCTCTCCGGTTGTCCTCCTACGATGGCCCCCCCGGGAGAGATAAAGCCTTCCCTGCCCGGAGCCCCGCATCCAGAGCAGGGCCCAGCGGAGCGGAGATGCTAATTTCCGAGGCTCCTGTCCCCGCTGCGCAAGCCCCTGACTCATCAGCCCAGCGCTGCCGGGAGCCGGACAGCAAAGGTACACGGAGAGGGGCAGCCTGAGGAGGTGACGTTCCGCCCCGCGGGGCCAGGCGGCTCTTCCTGCTCAGTTCTCAGCATTAGAGTTGGCGCTGCCTGGAGGGGGGGCTGGTGCTGGGCTTGGGGTGGGGGCAGGACCACTGGGCACCCAGGGAGAGCTGGGTCTGGCTGGGGAGAGGCGGGAAGGGGGCACGCGGAGCAGAGCCCAGGTGTGGGTGGAAGTGGCGTGGGACTCGGGGGGGACCCCTCACCCCAGCACTGCCCCCACTTGCCAAGGGCAGACAGAGGACTGGGCCCGCTGAGCAAACAGCACCCCAAGAGTTGTCTCAGAAATGGGGACCAAATCGCCCTGGCCGGTTTGGCTCAGCGGTTAAAGCATTGGCCTGCGGTCGGGAGAGACCCGGGTTCGGTTCCCGCTAAGGGCATGTACCTCGGTTGCAGTTTGTCCCCGGCCCTGGTTGGTCGTGCGGGTGGCAGCCACTCGATGTGTCCCTCTCATGTCGATGTTTCTCTCTCTCTCTTCCTCTCTCTCCCTCCCACTCTATCTGTGCAAAAAATGTCCTCGGGTGAGGATAAAATAAAAAATAAAATAAAAAATAAAAATAAAAAAAGAAATGGGGACCAAATCAGACCACCAAGGCGTGCACGGCTCGCTGCATCGGAGTGTCCGCAGACGAGCTAGGAGCCAGGGTTCGAGTCCTGTGTGTAGGGGCCTCCGTGGCCTCAGGCCGTGTGTGTGCCCAGCAGCCTGGTGGTTGGCGCTCTGCCCTGTCACCTCCTCCCTGACCGCTCCCCGCCCCACTCACATCCCCGTTGAAGAGCTTGCATTCCTCGTCCATCTCGTCCGCGCTGTCCTCGTCGGACACCTCGCCCTCCTCGGCGTCCTCGCTGATGGTGGCGGGCAGCTTCTTGCCCTGGGGGGCGGGGGGACCATGAAAGGGGCCCTGCAGGAAGCACTGGGGGGCTGGCTCAGCTGCACAGCGAGGGCCTTCTCAAGCTTGCTCTGGGGTCTCAGGCTGCGGGGCAGGTGCCAGCCCGGGGCAGCCGCGTGGGAGGGGACGCCTCGGTGGCATGCAGAGGTCCCCGGATGGCGCGGCCGCCACGGAGAGAGGGGGGCCAGGGCAGGGCAGGGGCACCCCGACCCCTCCGAGCAGCCCTTGCGCTGCCCGAGCCAGGCGCCCGGCACGAGGCCGCCCCCGAGGACGGGCGAGACTCACCTTCACCAGAATCTTGCCCCTGAGCATCTGCGGGGAGGGCAGCATGGTGGCGTCCTCGCTGCTGACCGACGACAAGTCCAGCTTGTCTCCCAGGATGTCCGTCAGGTACTGCGCCATCTTCTTCTGCTGGACGACACTGCAGTGGTTCTCGATGGACAGGATCACCGGGTACCTGCGGCCGACATGGGGGTAGGTGAGGCCGGGGGCCCACCCTGTAGGGCCCGGTGACCTGCACCGCTGAGTGAGAAGGGGTCTCCCCCGGGAGCCCGGGAGAGACGGGCTGCCGGCCACTCTGGGAGGGCGGCCAGCGACGGCTTTGAAAAGCGCCGTGCAGGTGTGAGAGGAGGGAGACCTTAGGGCAGAGGAAGCACTCGCTCCTCCCCGCACGAGAAAAACCAAGGCGCCGGGAACTCCGGGAAAACAGAAGGGACCACTGGAGCCGTCACAAGTCACGACTTCTCACGATGCAGGTGAAACAAGGGTGCAGCGGCGACGGAGCCTGCGGAAGGTGACCCCAGGACCTAGACCCGGGAGCACTGTCCTGTGGCGGCCCTGGGGCCCCAGCGTGGGCTTTTCATTGCGCGTTCTCCGCTGTTCGGTGTTTTCTTAGCCACGCGCACGTTCTCCTTGGGGTTTTGCCAAAAAGTGACATGACCCTGTCAGGAAGCGCAGGTCTCTCAGAGAATGTGACCCAGGCAAGACGTGGGCACGTCCCTGTGATGCTGACGTGGCAAGCAGGTCGTGGGGCGAAGGTATTCATTGCCCCAGTTCTCGGGCAAGGAGTGAAGCCTGAAGCCTGGGGCCTGGGGAGACCCCTGTGCCGGCAACGCCCACGCCCGCCCGCCACAGGTCTGAGCTCTGTCCCAAGGTCCCGGCAGGCACCTGGCCCTGGGCAGTCACAGGAGGTCTGTGCACCCCAGCTCTCTGCTCTGTGACACCCCTCAGCTGCCATCCATCCCAGGGCCCGGGCTGCCGGGCAGAGACGGCTGACCCCCACCCCTCCTTCAGCCCCAGACAGAGCCGGCTCCTCCAGAGGGGCCCCCAGGCTGCTTCTCCCCGCTCCCTCACTCACAAGCTGCCCCCTCGCCGGCCAGCCCCCTGGAGCGAGACCGAAGGTAACAGGGGTGCAGGGAGGGGTCTTCAATTCCCAGCAACTGAACTGGGCGTTGTCGGCAATGTCTGCAGCCACCGCTGAGGGACAGCAAGTGGAGGCGGGACAGAGCGGCTTCTCGGGGCCAGTCAGTGCGGGAGCCACGCTGCTCTGGGCGGCGGCCGCCAGGGTGCCCGAGCCTGTGCCCAGAGAGGGGTGGGCAGGGCCTCTGCCTCGGCCCAGCCCCCAGCCCGCCACTCACTCGTTCTTGACGAAGGCGTATTTGTTGATGGTCTCGATGACATCTCGGAACAGAATCTTGGAGGTCAGGGTGTAGCCGTGGTGCACGATGGGCTCCCCGTCGGGCCCATCCCAGCAGTCCACTGCGGGCAGCGACCCGGTCAGCCCCGGCCGCGACACCCAGGGACCCACAGCCCGCGAACGCCATGCCCACCCGGGAGAGGCCTTCCCAGCCCTGAGCGGGCAGAGGGCGGACACCCTGCCCAGGGGTCCCACACGGGACACGCCAGCCCCTGGCCCGGGCCTGGCCCTGGGCTGGGGGGTCCCGGCGCCCCAACTCACCCTCCACGCAGCGGCAGCCAGCCTGCAGCACCCAAGCGTACATGTCCACCCGCGACTGGGACATGAGCTGGTCGCCCGCGAGGTAGGTGTTGTGGGACGAGGCGATGAAGTAGTGGCTCAGTGGCCGGGCCATGTCCTGGTGCACACCGTGGTGCTCGGGGTTGAAGATGTCGCCGGCCGGGCTCCGTGTGTAGTTCGTGAAGCCTGCGGGAGCAGGTGTGGGGAGGCTCAGCCCGGCGAGCCGGCCCATCTCAGGACCACCGGCCCTGGCAGCCTCCCAGGACAGAGCGACCTGCTGCAGCCGCCCTCAGGATGCCCCTCGGCGCCCCCGCCCCCCGCGGCCTCCCAGGTGGGCAGGACGGGGTGACCCACTCACCGTCAATGCCCAGCACCCGCTTGCTCTTGTTTTCGGGGCACGGCTCAAACTGTTCGATGATGTCCTGGCAGCTCTCCAGTGTCACGCCCGTCATCTGGTCAGAGAAGGGGCGCCAGCCAGACCGGCCCATCACCAGCCCGGCCTCTGCCCCCTGTCCACTGCCCGCAGCCCGGCTCTGATCACCACGGCAGGGCTGAGCCGGGGGAGGAGGCCCTGGCCCTCCCTGGCCACCTACCGTGCCCCCCGCCTTGGGCTCGGACAAAGATCCTTCCAGCAGGGGAGGGCTCTTTGGCCTCATGGGCCCTGGCCGCCCCCCATTAGGGGCCCTGAGAGCCGGGGACCAGGGCCTGCTAAGCAGGGAGCAGCCCGTGTACGAAAGGGGCAGCAGACCCCAGGCACACCTCCTACCGGGAGGAGCTTGGGCACAGGGGGCCTCTCACCCACCCCTCCTGCTGCCCACCCACGTCCTTCACAAGAAAGCTGCCGCCACAGCCGAGCCCAAGGTGCCCCCCACCCCGCTGAAGGCTGCATGAGCTCCCAGAGTCCTGGGGTGCAGCCCCAGCCACCAGGACCCCCCGTTCCCAATAGTAGACCCACCAGCTTCCAGGATGTCCCCAGGAATGTGGGGGTGGGTACAGGTGATGGGGGGGTTCAGAGCTCCTGACATGTATAGACCTTGGGAGGCCCCAGTCCACAGGACCCTACTCAGACCAATGCCTGGAGGGCAGTTTGGGCTCCAGACAGGTCTGGAGAGCCCTGCAAGCTTGGGGCAGAGGTCAGGGAGCAAAGGTCAGCCCTGGCCACATTCCCGCCCTGTGCCGAGCAGGCAGCTCGGATGGAGGACCCGCAGCGCTGTCCTGAGGCTACACAGGGGCCAGGCTGGGGGTCAGGCTCCCGGGGCGGTGGGAGGTCAGGGTGCTGTCAGCCTCCCGCCTGGGCTCCCCGCTCCCGCCCTCGGGATGGAGAGGAGGCAGGTGGGCGGTCCAGGGACGAGCTCCAGCCAATGGTGTGGCAGCAGTGGGGAGGGGCCCAGGAGCTCAGCCCCCGGGGGGGCGGGGAGGGGAGGGGCCCAGGAGCTCAGCCCCCCCGGGGGGAGGGGAGGGGCCCAGGAGCTCAGCCCCACGGGGGGAGGGGAGGGGAGGGGCCCAGGAGCACAGCCCCCCGGGGGGAGGGGAGGGGAGGGGCCCAGGAGCTCAGCCCCACGGGGGGCGGAGAGGGGAGGGCCCAGGAGCACAGCCCCACGGGGGGCGGGGAGGGGAGGGGCCCAGGAGCTCAGCCCCACGGGGAGGGGGGCAGGGCGGGGCGGGGCGCCAACCTGTCAGCACAACCCTCAGGGAGCTAGATCTCGGCACCGCCCCAGACCCGCCTGGACCCCCAGCGGTTCCTGCTGCTCCTGCCCCCGCCCTGGCCCTGCCCAGCGGCCGCTGCCTGAGACCCCAGGGCTGACTCCCTGGCCTGGGTGCCTGGCCCCAGAAGTTTTTCCCCTCCCGCTCTCCACCCCAAAGTGAGGTCCCAGGAAGGCCCAGGCCCAGAAGGCGACCTCACCGCCGCCTCCCACCAGCCTCGAGGTGGTTACGCTGTCTGAGTCCCCACGCGTGCCCTCTCTCCTCAGGGGACACCGGCCTTCCCTGGACGCCCAGCCTCCTGCCCACCAGAGTAGGGGGAACCCAGCCTCTCCCTGGGCCTGGGACAAGGGTCCAGACCCAGGTCTCTGGTCACTGGGCCGCCAGTCAGCAGGACAGCACCCAGGGAGCAGTCAGCCCTCAGGACAGACAGAGCTGCCTGGGGTGGAGCAAGAAGGACGGGCCTGCCCCACGGCACCGGAGGGTCTGGGCGTCTGCCGGACAAGTGGGTGGACGGAGGAGGCGGGGCCGGGAGCAGGGCAGGCTGGACTGGGAAGCTGCGGTCGAGGGGGGCTCCCTCTGGAAGCGCAGGGGTGTGCCGCCTGCAGCCCCAGCCTGCTGGGCACACTCACCTTCTGTTCCACTTCCAGGAAGCGCTGGAGGTCGGCGGCGTCCAGGTGGTCCTTGTGGTCGCTGTAAGTCAGCATGAGCAGGTAGAGGTCCCGGCGGGTGGACATCATCTTGTAGAAGGCACAGAACTCCTCAAAGCCCAGAGTGCCTTGGTGGTCATCCGTGTCCGCCTCCTGCAACGCACAGCCCGTGGGTCCCACCTGGAGCCACACCCAGGGGTCCTCCAGACCCACCCCCACTCTCAGTCACCCCCACAAATCCACCCTCCCCCTTCCAGTGCCACTGCCCATGTCACGGCCTCCTGGTTGTTCCCCGGGACCCTCACCGGGCTCCCCTTCTGACTGTCCCACCAAGACCACTGACCCTGGTCCAAGCCTTTCACGGTTAACCTGCAGCTGAGCCCAGCACAGTGACATCATACTCGGAGCCGACAGCCCCTGGAGTCAGTGTCCCCCTGGGCCTTGATCCTGTCACTACAATGGCTGCCCATGGTGTGCTCGGTCTCAGCCACTGCCCCCCTTTTGCAGACAGAGTGGCTCACGCAACACCCACAGGAACCCCCAGGGGCAAAGCCACCGGGACCCCAACGAGGCCATGGGCCCTTTATGAACCCACTGGCTCAGGGAGCGTCCCGGTGTCAGGCCCTGGGGAGCTGAAGCCAAGGGGCTACAAGGCTGAGAGACCCCAGGAGGAAGCAAGGTCGGGACCTTAGAAGGTGCTGCTCAAGACCCCGAGTGTAAAGACAGCTCTCTGGCCCTGAGGGGTGCAGGTGGGGACAGGGTGCGAACCTAACCCACTTGGAGGTGACTCCCGGCAGGGAGACCCCGGGTCAGCACCATGGACAGCAGTGTCCACCAGCCTTGCAGGCCATCTGGCTAGTGCCTCCTGTGGCCACACAGTCCAGGGTGGCCTGGGTGGGTGCCAGGTCCCTGAGGCCCCTCTGAATCGGGATCATCATCAATGAGCCAGGCGGCCCCAGCCATCCCCATGTCCCATCGCCAACAAGGGTAGGGCTCCCAGGAAAGCTGGGTCCAACCTCTGCCCTGGGCAGCTGCCTCCCGCGGCCCTGTGGCCTGGCACTGCGGTGGGGCCCCAGCATCTCGCTCCGGGACCTGAGTACTCATGCAGGTACCCATGCCAAGGCTGGGGCAGGACCAGCTTGGTGGGAAGACCCCAGCCCAGATCCCAATGCACTGGGGCCCAGCAGATGCCAGACAAAGGCCCTGGTGTGTCTGGTGCTGGGTTTGAGGGAAGCCCTGTGTCCGAGAGCTACCAGGACAGATGGACAGACCAGGCTCGGGCAGGTCAAAGGGCCCCTCTGGGACAGAGCCTGTCTGACAGCCCTCCCAGGGGGCATGGCTGGAGCTGGACACAGATGCCCATTCTGTCCGGCCCACAGGGTGGTGGTTGCTCCACTGGGCTCTGTCTGGGCCGCACAGCCAGGAGTCCATGCAGAGTGGCGGCTTGCTCACCACCCCGCTGCTGTCCCCAGCGGTGAATAAAAATGCTCCGTGAGACCCGAAAGGACGGAGCTGAACCTCCAGCCGCAGAAACACCCCCCACGTGGTCCGATGCTGATTTTCTTCCCACAAACAGGCCAGGCGGAGCCCCGCTGGGAGCTGGCCCAGGGATTCCTTAGGCCCCCGAGGCCGGAGGGCCACGCTGGACCCCGCCCACACACCCCCCATCAGTTCAGACTCCGCCCACCACACATCTCCCTGTGATCAGGCCATTTCAGGGGGACAGACACAACAGTGAGATTTCTCCACAGTCAAGTTGAGGCAGCCGACCGGAGTGACTGCTTCACCGGAGGTCAGCCTCCCGCCCTGGGCTCCGAGCTGGCAGAGGAGGCCGGGCTGACCGGCAGGGAGGCCCAGCCACTCAGGAGCCCCCGCTCACAATGGCCATTTGCGTCTGAGCTGCCCAGGGTCTGGGGTCTGTGGCTCCAGGCCAACAGCCCCCCACTCACTTCGCTCCGATCAGCCCGGAGCCTACCTTGCCTGCTGAGCCCAGGCTGCAGGGTGTCCCCTCATTCATGTCTTCCTTGGGGTGATCGGGTTGAAGCCTAGACACAGCCAGGCCTGAAGTGAGCCAAGAGCCCCGAGGGGAGCCCCTCGTGTGCCAGAGGGTGTGCGAGGCCCGGCGTCCCTACAGGAGGGGAGCAGGGTGGGCCTCCAAGAGCCCCCAACAAGGGGCATTTTGTGCCGGGCCTTCAGGGCCTGTGCTCACTCACACCCAGTCCATATGGGGGGCTTCCTCCCCTCCCACCTCAGTGGCCAATCTGGACCCCACGTCCTGCTGCTGGCCCCTGACACAGCCTCGCTGTTCTGGAAGGGCCTGTGAGCCCGGAGCTGCCTCTGGGCGCAGGGCAGGCAGGTAGGTGGGGTGAGCAGCAGGCCTGAGTGTCTGCCAGCTCCTCGTGGCCCAGGCAGGCTTTGTCCCCTCTGGGGCCTTCAGAAGGGGCCCTGAAAGCCCCCCAGTCCTCAGCCAGCAGTCTGACAGCATCCCGCTCACCACCCTCCATTCACGCACAGACCCCAAGCCGGCAGTGTCCCTGGCTCCAGCCGAGCGTGACCACCCGTCTATCGTGAGAACCTCTGCAGGAGTGCCAGGGGCTGCACCTAGCAGATCTGTCGAGCTGCGTGAGTGTGCGCCTGTGTGTCTGTGTGTGCCTACGTGTGTTCACATGTGTGCATGCACGTAACTGTGTGTGTGTGCCTATATGTGTGCAGGTGTATGCATGCACGCAACTGGGGGTGTGTGCATGTGTGTGCATGTGTGTGCATATGCATAACTGTGTGTGCACATGTATGTATGCACATAACTGTGTGTGCGTGCCCATATGTGTGCAAGTGTATGCATGCACGCAACTGGGGGTGTGTGCCTGTGTGTGCATGTGCATAACTGTGTGTGCACATGTATGCATGCATGTAACTGCGTATGTGTGTGCATTTGTGTCCACGTGTGCCCATGTGTGTGCCTACATGTGTTCGTGTGTGAGCACGCACATAATTGTGTGTGCCTATGAGTGCGTCTGTGTGCGCATATAACTATGTAGCTATGTGTGTCTTGTGTGCACATACCTATGTGTACGCGTACATGCATGCATGTAACTGTGCTTGCCTGTGTGTGCATGTGCGTGTGTCTGCATGTGCCTATGTGAGTGCACGTGTGTGTGTGTGTGCATGGGTACGGGGTCTGGTTCAGGCTCTTGAAAGCCTCTTCCCTGGCTGCAGCAAGACAATGACGCCCTAATTACAGACAATTAAGGCCTCCGCCCAGCAGAAGGGTGCATTTCCATAGGTTCCAACACCAGGGTGCTTGGGGACCAGGAGGCTGTGCAGGGCAGGTAACCAGACCGGCTGCCCACGGGGGCCTATGGACACCTGGCACCCCACCAGGAAAAGTGCACCCCATTAGGGCAGTGGAGTTATGGGGTGGGGCGGGAAAGAGGGTGCGGCCTCCTTTGGGTGGTCTTCCTCACTGACCAACACCTGCCCCCAGGGCCCAGCTCAGCGGCAGAGGCAGCAACTGTCCAGGGTCCCTGGCCAAGCCTCGCCCCTGCTGTTTGCTGCAGCTCAATGGCACCACCCGGGCCCTCTGCAGTGCGGGCAGGCCCCCCCTCGGGCGCCACTCTGCCGCCTCACCTTGAACATCCGCTTCACCTCCTGCCGGGGCAGGTTCACGTTGAGCCTGTGCAGCAGCTGCAGGACCTCGCCGACGCTCAGGCTGCCGTCCCCGTTCTTGTCGGCCTCGTCGAACGTCTGCTTCAGCCACTTTGGGGCCGAGTTAGGGGCCACCGCGGGTGGAGCAGGGCCACGCGCCCGCCCAACACCCTTCCTGCTCCCACTCCCCAAACGTGCCCCCGGGGCCTGCCTGTGTGCCCAAGGATATTGGTCCCTGGTGCGCTGGCGGCGGGCCAAGCTGTCCTCGTCACTGATGCCGGCCATGAGGTAGCGCAGGCCGGTGACCCAGGTGCGCGCCTCGTCCCCACTGGGCGAGACCAGGTCCAGCGACTGGCGGTGGCTGCCGTGGTAGATGCTGAAGCAGCAGTTGGGGTCGAAGCTGCCGTCTGGGTAGCGCTGGAAAATCTCCGACCGCCGGCCCTCACTCACCTCCTGGATGGAGTCGATGGAGACTGCGGGGTGGGCGCCGGTCACAGCACTCCCCAGGGCAGGTGGCCCCGCTCCCGCCCACGGGTGGCAAAGCTGGCGCCCTGCCAAGGTGCCCTTTCCATCGGAGGCTGGGGACCCCCACTTGGCAAGCTCGGCGTCTGGCTGAGGCTGCAGAGTGAGGCCGGACAAGCCAACTCTGTCCACCCAGCTCCGTCTGCTCGTCTCCCTGACTGCTGGCCGGCACGGCTGCGGTCCTGGGGCCACCTCCACAATAAGCTCCGGCATCAGCAGGTGGGGCCGGGGGTGAGCCAGGTGCTGCTTAGCAGGACCAGCTCAGGTTCCTAACGCACAGAGCGCGGGCTCCACGGAGGCCCCATCCAAATGCTGAGTTACCACAAGGACGTGAGCTCGAAGGGTGATGTCAGGGTCCCCCCCATGCTTGTGGCAGGGCCCCCCAGACACGCAGGACCCCGGGCTCAGCACAGCCAGGCCCCCCACTGCACCTCCTCGGGCACCCATCTGCTGTTCCCACGTAGGCTCTGGCCCTCTGGGGTTGTCATGTCTAGAGCAATAATGGGGGGCTTCCCCACCATGCAGTGAGGGGCCCCGCCCCCTTCCTGAGGCCCCACCTCCTTCCCCAGCTCCCTGTCTACAGCAGTGTGGTGGGCGGGGAGGTTCTGGGCCTCCAGACCAGGGGGGCTGACAGTCAGGGAATAGCTGCCCCCACCTCTCCCTCCCGGGACCCTCCCAGGCCAGAGTCTGCTCTAAACACCCACCTCGGTCTCCCCCACCCCAGCGTGCAGGTCTCTGCCCCTCAGCCCTCCCCGAAGGGGCCTCTGTGGGCCTCCACCACCACTTCCCTCTACCCCCAGCCTGTTTTCCTCGCCACCCTGCAGGGCACGAGGCTGCCCTGCACTCAAAGGCCACCCGCACTTGAAGGCCAGCTTCTCCTCGGCCGAGTTCCCAGGATGCTGTGCCAGGAACAGAGCCCGGAACAGAGCGACACCCTGGACCGAGAGCAGGCGCTCACCTGCCTGGGCCCGGAGGCGCCCCGCCCCCCCAGATCCCTCCCAGGGGCTCCAGTGTGGCTCTCTCCTGGCCCCAAGGTGGAGGCAGTGCCCGCGGAGGCCTGCCCTGGCCCACCAGGGTCCCTGCCCTCGGCACAGCCAGAGGAGGGGAAGTCAAGTCCCTCTCCTGGCCCACGAGGGTTCTCCCTCCCTGGCCCTGGACCCCAGCCCAGTTCCTGCCGTGCCCTATTCAGGACGGACCGTGCCCTTCCATGCCCTGCGGCCCTCCCAGCTCTGCGCCCCTCCTCACCCCGGGCAGCTCCACGGCCCCACGCCCACGCCAGCTGCTCGTGCCCCAGGCTGCCGGGGCCAACATTTGGCCCTGAGGTCCCGCCCTCGGTGTGCCCAGCGAGGGGGTCCTTTGTTTCCGGGAGGTCCTATCTGCCCAGCTAGACAAGGTCCCCGGGCCTCTTGGCCCAGCCCTGCACCTGGCACGGGGCTGGGCCCCGGGGTCTCAGGGGGCGTGGGGCCCTGACCCTCCCCGCCGTGTCCAGAGGTCCCCTCGGAAGGCCGAGGCCGGCCCGGCCACTCACTCTTGGCCTTCTCGTTCTTGCGGGAGGGCCGCCAGCGGATGCAGGACCGGTGCTCGTCCAGGAAGTAGAAGCGCACCAGGCCCCTGGAGCTGCCCCGCAGTTTCACCATCTGCGTGCCCGCCTGCATGGCGCTCATGCATCTCTCCACTGCCGGGCGGGGACAGACAGACAGACAGACAGGGCTCGTGAGCACGGCCGCGCCCCGCCCCCCGCCCCGCCCGTCCACCTACCACCCACCCACTGAGGGCCCGGCTCAGACCCCCGGGGCTGCCTGTGACCCCAGGGGCTGGCCCGGGTTCATCTGGGACCCTGTTCAAGGCAGAGCCCTGGCAGGGAAACAGCGATTCTGCCCAGTGGCCCTGCCGCCCTGCCCTCCCCTGGTCCTGGCGCCCGAGGGCCAGCTGAGGCCTCAGACAGGACTGGCCACCTGCCCAAATCACCGTCTACCCCCTGCACCAGCCCCAGCGACCACCACAAACGGCCCCAAAGGCTCCTGCCCAGGAGGGGGTGCAGGAACACAGTGGCTGAGCCCCCCTCGGGAGCCTCGGTGCCAGGCACAAGGTGGGCACCCCCATGATGCCCAGCCAGGCTCCCGGTCGCCTGCACCCCCTCCTGACATGTTCAGGACCCCAGCGCAAATAGGAGCTCCAAATCGAAACCCTTCCCCCACCCGGGCCCACCTGCCTCTTCCCGAACCCCCTCCTCGCACACCCGGCCGCTGTCTGCAGCTCACAGCTCCCAGGGCACAGGGCAGGGCTGCGCCAGACGGGCTCCGGGGCTGGGGGGCTGCCGGCAGCAGGGGGCGCGCTGAGGGCATCGTGCCCGGCACCGGCACGGTGGGATGAAGGTGCTGCTGCCCCAGAGTGCCAGGGACCCCTCAGCCACAGCCCTGGAGCACCCAAGGGCCCAGCCAGCTTGCCCCCAGGGCCATGCCCTCAGCTCCACCTGCCGGCTGCCCGCCTGTGGCTCAGCCTCCAGGCCCCGAGCAGGGTCAGCAGAAGACGGTGTCCTGGAGCCACGACCCCCGAGGGAGATCCAAGGGGGCGAGAGGTTAAGGTTTGCGGGGCTGGGGTGGGCCTGCCCAGGCCTGCCTGCCGCGCCCTCCTGGCCCCACCGGCCCTGAGCGGACAGGTTCTGCCGGGGGAGCGGGGAGCCCCGGCCCCCTTACCTACTGGGCCAGGCTGCCACCGCGGAGACAGGGCCACACTCCCTCCGACCCAGAGGAGGGCGTCGGCCAGGCAAGCACGGTGCCCGTGGGCCTGCCGGAGGTAGATGGCCAGGGGTGGGCTCAGGGGGGCCAGAGGGGGCCGGCGCCCCAGCAGCCTCCGCAGCAGGCCAGGCAGTGGTGGGGCGCACAGGGGTTCCACACGGCCCCCTTCTCTCCTCCGCTTCTGCCTCCTCCCCGTCGGAGCCCCCGAGGCCCCCGCAGGGCTGCTCCCAGGCCCCTCTAGCATTGGCTTGACTGTCCCCTGCTGTCCCAGATGGCCCCGGGCCACCCCCCCCCCCCAGCAAGGCTCCAGACAGATCCCCAGAGAAGCAGGTCGCAGGGTCTGTGGGTGAGGGAGCCTCGGGCCTCTGCCCGCCCCCCCATCCTCTGTGCAATCCCCTGCGCTAATCCCGGCTGGGACCAGCCCAGCTGCCCGGAGGATTGAGGCCAAGGGAACCCCGTCCGAGCCGGAGCCAGGAGGAGGCTGAAGGAGCAGCAGTGTCATTCGAGGCCCCAGCCCGGGAGCCCACGTCCCAGCTGAGTAATGGCAGGCAGGACAGACAGGCGCCCCCCCAAGACCCAGAGAACATGGCCACAAGGCTTGAGGGGCCGGTCCCCAGGGTCCCACCCTCTGGGGCACACTTCCCGGCCCTGCGAGGAGCAGTCTCCCCACCTCTTCTCCACACTGCGCCCCAGCCTGTGCCTCCCCTGTCACCCACTCTGTCCTGCCCACGGGGAGCCTGGGGCCTGGAGGTGGGGGGCAGCATCTCACCCCTCAGTGCCCAGCCCCCTGTGGGCTGAAGGCTGCACCCACGGGGGGCCGCTTTCCCAGACCTGTCTGCCCAGGGGTGACCTGGGGCACACTGGACCCCTTTCCGCGGCGACTCCCAGCACTGGCTGGAAGGTGCGGGGCCCCTGAGCCCGGGTCCCCACTCCCCGCCCCCTGGCCCAGCTCCCGGCTCCTGGCCGTGCGGCCATCCCAAGGACCACACCTCAGCTTGACCTTTCCTGGTGCAGGCGGCCACTGCCCAGGGCAGGGTCATCACTGGGCTCTGCCCCCGGAAGCCGGGCCAGCCGAGCCTGCTGCCCTTCACGTGCCCGACCTGGGCTGGCCCGGGGCACCCGCGCCCGCTTGGCCCGCCCCGTCGGCAGCTCCTGGGAGGGGGAGTCCTGGGAGACCTGGGCTCAGTCCCCCGTCAGGAGCACCCTGCCCGCCCCCGTCCTCCCCAGCCCCGCAGAGTGCAGAGGACGCGGCGGCTTGGGAGCAGAGCCCTGGCTGCCAGCAGCCGAGCCCTGGTTCAGTTCTGTGGTCACGGCAGCACTCAGCCTCGGCCTCACGCGGAGGGGACAGAGGCCAGCGGCCCAGCGGTGCAGACTCTTCCCGGGGAGCCCGCACTCACACAGGCTGGCTGGCCCACGAGGGTGCACACACCCCAGGTCACCTGTGCCCTCACTGAGCGGGGGGCGGCATGGGGTCGGCTGGCAGGGTCGACAAAGGCTCAGCTGACCCCAGACAAGTTGGGGGGGCACCAGGGATGGGAGTGGGAGCAGCTGGGGAGGGAGGGCCACGCCGGCCACCCCCATGGACAGCGGGAGGAAGCCTCTTCCTCCGAGTGCCACGGGCAGGGGCCTGGTCCCTCCGCCGACCGCAGCGTCAGGCAGGCCGGAGCAGCTGGCCTGGCTCGGCTCTGCCCAGGCGGCTCCTGGACGGGTGCCCTGTCCCGGCCTGGGCACTAGACCTGGGAGCCAGGACGGCGAGTGGGTCAGAGGGTGGGAACAGGCCGAGTGGCCATCCGTGCTCTGTGCCTGACACCAAATGACCAGCCCAGGCCTGGCCTGTGCCTTACACCTCGCCACAGAGCCCCTGGGCACCTGCGTCCTGGAAGGGCTCCTAGCACCACGACTGTCAGGCAGGAGGAGCGCTTGATGGGCACGGCCGCCCCAGGTCCGGCAGCAGCGGGCAGTGCGGGGCCCTCCCCGGAGAAGCCCCTCTGGGGCCGTGGGCCCTCGTTTGTTGCCTGCTGAGCCACAGGGACCTGGGCACCCAGCTGGGGCCCGTGCGGCCTCAGTGAGGGTCCCTCCGGAGCAGGCCCCCTGCCCCCCTCACCGAGGCGGTCCCCACCTCAGCTACCTCGGTGGCATTAATCACATGCGACAGTCCTGTGGAGAGGAGTCTATTAATAACTGTCCGCAGCCTCCCTCCCTCACAGGTGCCCTGGCTTCTGTGTTCTGGGGGCTCCTAGCCAGGCTCCAGCGCGGAGGCTGGGAGGGGCGTAGGGAGGGCCACGCGCACCCAACTTGGCCAGAGCTCTCCGGAGGGAGGTGCCCAGCCTATGTGGGGACGGGGCCCCAGGGAGCCCCCAGTAAGCGGCTAGAAAGGAAGAGGCTCCCGCAGCCACCAGGGTGGGGGCACTTTCCTGAAAAGTCACCAGATGGAGCCCAGCCTGCCTGTGGGGAGGAGAGGAAACTCCCGCAGGGGGAGGAAAGGGGCCCGCAGCTCCCAGGGGGGGTCCTCCAGGCTTCGGTGGAGCCAGCCCTGCCCCCACCACACATCCACTGGGCCTCTGGCAGCTGGCCGGGCTGGACAGCCACCAGGCAGAGTGGGCACAGAGGAGACAGGAAACAGGAGAAGGCTGAGCCCCGGACCGTCCGGCCTCGCAGCCTCCCGCCAGGCCAGTGGCCCCTAGGGGGCAGCTCCTGCGAGGGCCCTGGGCCTCGGCATGGACAGGACATGGCCAGGCCCCCACGTTTGACTTCCTCGGGCAGGACCCCGCTGCCCGGGGGCTGGGCCAGCTGCCCGTCCCTGCCTCCTGTCCCAAGGTGGGCCCTGCACAGTTCTCCCCTGACTCTCCGCTGTCCACCTCCCCACACGCCCACCGCCCACGGGAGGGAACTCACGAGGAGCCGCCTGACCCTCGACTGGTCAGCTCTCCACCGCAGGGGCCTGACCTCCAGAGGCTCCCAAAGCAAACAGCGGTGCCACTGCGGGACGGGCATGCGCCAGGGGTCAGCGCGGAACAGCCGCCCCGAGTCACATGGAAGTGTGTCTGCAGGTCCCTGATCCGAGCAGCCTGAGGGTCCCACAGCACAGTGGGGCTCACTGTCCCCACGTCGGGGCCCATCGGGGCTCATACGGACATGTCTGCCGACGGAGCCTTCCTTGGGTCCCCCACCTGGGTCCCCCGCCTCACAGCTGGAGGGTGCTCAGGCCCCTGGGGCTGCTCGGGACGGTGGCCACTCAAGCATCCTTTTCCCGCCAACTGTCCAGCTCAGTGCAGCCGTCCTGGGTCTCCCAGGGCATGCGGCCCTGGGCTGGTGGAGGCCGGTGCCGCATGCCCAGGTCAGCGACTTCCTGTCCCCCATCTTCCTAGGGCCAGGGAATACTTCCCGCCCCTGTCCTGGGGGTGTCCGTTGCCCTGCCGGAGGCCCAGGCCCATGGCCTTCCCGGGCAGCGGGAGGCCCGTTCGCCACGCTGGAGACAAGGTCCCGGGAAGAAACAGACTCTGATGACTCAGGCCCTCCTTGAGGCCCCTCCCTGGCGGCCGCGTGAGCCGGAGCCATGGCACGGACGTGGCCCCCGCCTGCCCGGACACACACGCTGCCCCCGAGGGGAGGGCTTCCGTCCCAGGCTTCCAGGAGGGAGGTGCGGGAGCAGCCACCCATCGTCCTCGGCTCGTTAGCTGTGCGGATGGAGGGCTGGACAGGGCTCCAGGCACCTGCTCTGCCCTCCGCTGCCGCTTAGGATCTTTCTCTCCCCCGGGAGCAGCGCCCGCGTGCTTCCAGCCATCAGCAGGCCAGGAGGGTCTGCGCCCCCAGCCCTCTGCCCCTGCCACACCCCCGTTCACAGAGGGGCCGCAGGGGCAGCCGCAGGGCCAGGCGCTCGGCTCTGAAGGCTCACACCACCTGCGGGGGCTGCCCCGTGCAGCCTCCTCTTCCAGGACAGGCTCAGAGAGGGTCGGGGTGCCTTGCGTGAGGCCACACAGCTCAAGAGGCTCCTCCAGGAACGCATCCTCAGACTGCGGGGAATGCCGCCCCTGCTCCCCACACGCTCTCCGCGCCTGCCCAGCCCCCGCCCCAGCCAGGCCAGTCAGAGAGCAGCAGAACCCAGGTCCAGGAAAATCAGGATGCATCCACACAGATCACCAGAAGGCAAGCTCCTACTGCCCTTGGACCCCAGCCCTCAGGCAGGAAGTTCTGCTGCCGTCCGGCCAAGTGACTCCTGCTGCAGCCGCGGCACTGGCCCCTGCCCTCGCTGCCTCGCTCCACCTCCCGCCAGGGCAAGGGCAATGAGGGCAACAGAGACCCTGCCTGGGAGAAGCTCGGTCCCATCTGGTCACTGCAGGACCAGCCCGGACACCACCCACGGGCCCCTCCTTGTGCCCTAGCTCCTTGGCACCAGGCAGCCCTGGGCAGCCCCAGAGGGCCCTGCCATGGCTGCTGCTCTGTGCCATCTACCCAGGGCAGAGCCCGGGCGCCCAGGTCAGGGCAGTGTGGCAGATCTGAGCATAAACCTCCCTCCTAGGGGCCACGGGCAGAACCTTGAGAACTCAGACCCCTCCGGTCCCTGAGGGAAAGGCAGCGGCCCTGTCCATGGTGCTGACCGAAGCTCAGCAACCTCTCCACCTGCCCTGGATGAGTGGGGAGGAGGAGGTTGGACCAGGCGAGCCCCCAGGGTCCCTCGGGCCAGGACACCCTGCCTCTGAACCCCCGGCCGAGGCTGGTGTCCACTGGGGGCAGGCTGCAGGTCAGGGGCACCTCCTCCGCTGCCCATCAGGATTGTCCGCACCCTTCACCGGGAGATGCCTGCACGGGGGAATTGGCTCCTCCCAGAGACTCCTGGGGGAGGGGTCCAAGCACTGCCTGTGGGTCAGCAGCCACGCTGGGCTCCCTGCAGGGATGGCCACAGCCCTCTTTCTTGAGCCTCTCCGTTCCCCTTACCTTGGTCCCGGCTGAACCCGCCAGGGTCCCTGGGCTCTTCCATGGCCTGTGGGAGTCACCCGAGGGGGCCGGGGCGGCAGGCTGGCCCTGCATGTGCCCATGCCCATCAACAGCTACAGCGCTGCCCAGCCCGGTCCGCCCCTCCCTGGAGCCCCGCCCTCCTTAACCCTTCCCCGCCTGCTCAGCCAGCTGGGGCCCGAGGTGGGTGGGGGTGGCACTCAGAGGCCAGCCTGGGGTGGGGCTGTGCCACACTGTCCCCGCTGGGACTCCTGGGACACCCCGCCCCTCCTGCCCGCAGGTCTTCCTGGCGGCTGCATGCCCCTCAGGAGCTGGTGTCCCCCAGCTGGCAGCCCCCATCCACCACAGGGTACCCTGTTATTACAGTCTTCCCCCTGCCCCATAGGCTGGATCGGACAAGGCACCCCCCAGGCCCAGCACTTCCGGTGGTCAGGGTGACAGCCCAGTGGCACCCGGTCAGAGGTGTGCACAGGGGGTGAAAACAGGGTCCAGGAGGCCCAGCTCCTTGAGGTCCAATCCCTCCTGTGCTCTTGCCTCCCCCATGGGTCCCTCAATCACGGTCCTGTGGAAGCCTCTGGGGTCTGGGGGTGGTTGGGGTTGTTGGAGTGCAGAAGAGCCCCTGCCCAGCTTGCTGCCTGGCCAAGTGGGGTAGGGGGGACGTGAGCTGAGCAGCGCCCCCATTCCAGCACCTGCTTCCCGCGGGAGGCGTGCTCTGGTTTGACCTGCTGCTCTGGCATCTGAGAGAAATAACATTTCCCAGATCAACAAGGAGAACGTCACCCTCAGGGGCTGTTATGAAAGCTGCCAGCCCCTGCCTGCAGCCGGAGAGGGCCCTGCAGCTGCCGGTGGCTTGGCAAGGCCTGTGGGGCGTGGGCACCAGAGGGCGAGATGGGCAGGCGGACGGTGTCACCCCAAGGTGACCACCTCCTGCCAGGTGAGCCATCATCACCACCACCAGATCCTGCCCCGGGAATGCCCCAGGGCCGCTGCCTAGCTCCCCCAAAGGGGCAACCGTCCCCCACTGACCACCACCCCACCGGCCCCGAGGTCAGAGTGCTCGCTGCCTGGGCTCTGAGGACCTGCCCTCGTGAGCTGACCCTGACTCTCACGTCCACACTGGTCACATGCTCACTCAGTCCCCCGTGTCCACTGGGCTGGCAGCGTGTCCAGGGGCACCGGGTGTGACTGGCTTCCCTCTGGGCACAGCCCTCGGGGGTCCCGTGGCTGAGCAGGAAGCTGAGGCGGGGTCGCCAGGCCCAGAGAGGGCCAGAGGCGGAGACGACAGCTGGAGGGCCCCGTACGTCCCCTCAGACGGTCCTTCTGAGAAAGGGCCAGCAGCCTGTCTCAGGAGCAGAGAAACTGAGGCAGAGAGAGGAGATGCGGATTGAACCAGAGACCAGGGAAGTGAGGACGATGGAGAAGGGCGTGTGGACCACAGGGCCCCAGGGGAGTGAGCGCAACGCCAGGCTGGTGTCCTCAGAGTGGACAGAGGCCTGGACCACTCTGCGGCGCTCAGCAGACTCAAGTTCAAGTTCTGATGAATAATCCATGGGTGTCGCCAGCCCCGCCCACCGCCCGCCGGGAGAGATGATTTCCGTTACCACAGCCTGCGATTAAAGCCAGTGATTAAAAGCCGCCTGCCGCACATGTTAATTTGCTTAAGATTCTCATCTCCTAAATCTCTTTCCTGGGCATTTAAGCAAAATTCTGCCTCCGAGAGCCTGGGGCCTGGCGCGGGTGGGCGGGTCTGCAGGGCCCTGGCGGCCCGAGGAGCTCAATTATTTTGAGGAGCTCAATTATTTTCTCGTTTGAAGAGGGGCCTGGAATAAACAGACCCAGTCAGGCGGCAGGGGAGAGTGCGTGTGTCCCCCGCCTGAGCCCCTGTGGGCGGGGCTCGTGCCCTGGAGCCCCGGTCTGCCCTCCCAGGCCGTTCCTCAGCCAGGCACACTGCCCCCCGCAGCGGCCCCTGTCTCTGTCCTCCCTCCCAGGAGCCTTTGCCCTGCCCTGGCTGCGCTGACCACCCCGTTTCCTCCTGGGGTGACAGGGCAGAGGACCAGGGTTACAAGAGGGGCTTCCCCCCAGGGACAGAGCCCAGTCCTGGACACCCAGGCAGGGAGGGGGGGGCCGAGGAGGAGGTGCCCAGAGCTGTCGTCCCTGCTACCCCCGCCCCTGAGCTCCATCTGGGTCTGTCCCTGGTTCCCAAGCAACGCCCAGAGGAGCCGGAGGAGACTGGGCCCCAAGATGCGGGCCGGCCTAGACCTTGGACCCACCGCCTGGGTTCCTGGCTAGGCCTGCAAGTGGGCCCAGCATGTCCCCACCTGTGCCTCAGTGTGCTCGCCTGTGCAATGGGAACACTGGCCCGACAGCCATGACCCCACGGGGCCCGCCGAGCCCGTCCCTCCTCACCCAGAGGGTCCGGCTCCGTGAACCTCAGGAGCTCACAGCTGGCCTCATGCTGGCACTGCCCGGGACCCTCCCACGGGTCTCCATCCAGCTCTGCTCAGCTGGAGGGCCTTCCCTGCTCAACAGCCCGGGTAGAGGTCCCGAGAGGGCAGGGCTCCCGGGTCTCAGCGGGCAGCACGTGGGCCCCTGACCGTAGCGCCAGCGCCCGGGCTCCCTGAAGTCTGCCGTCCTCCGCAGGCACGATTCCCCGGAAGGGCTGCGACCCAGCTCCTCCCGGATCTCCTGACGCTGTGCAGGGTCCTGGACAGGGCGAGGCCGGAGACCTGGGCCATGACCAGCCGCCATGTGGGGACCCCCAAGGGCCGGCCTGTGCGCCTGTGTGTGTGCACGTGTGTGTGCTCAGGGGCTGGTGGGAGCGCCACCCTGCACAGGACGAACACGAACACCGTCCAAACAGGAAAAACAGCCCCCAAGGAGCCAGGGACAGGACACCGCGGTGGAGACCAGACCCGGCCCCCAGGGGGGCCCCGGTGGTTACACTGGCCCCTCTGGCCCCTGCCTCCCATGAGCAATGGCACGTCCTGATCGCCTTGAAGGCGTGTTAGAGATGGAAAGGCCTCCCCTTGGGTGCCAGCCCGGCCACTGGGAGACGCAGCCTGGGAGTTTCATTAATTATTCAACCTCAGAGCCAATTCAGGTTGCTTTCTTGCCCAGTGTACGAGCCCTGTGTCGTACAGCTCCTGATAAGAAATGAGGCCGCTCT